CTCAGAATAAAACTATCGTTCCAGAGATCGCGTCTTCGTCTTCTTTACAGAGGTGATTGTGTTCGAGGAATGCAGTAACGCTTTCTTCATGATTTTTTCAATGATTTCGCAACAAACGGAGGTAAGACTCACCGGCCTATAATTGTTTGCGGAGGTTCGGTTTTCACTCTTGAAAAGCGGAATAATCGCTGCTGTCTTCCAATCAGAGAGTAGACACCCAGAAACAAATGACGCCTGGAAGATTAAGGCGAGCAGCTTGGCCATTTCGGAAGTTATCTCCTTCAACAGCTTGGCCGGGATTGCATCGGAGCCTGGGGACGTCGATTCTTTCAAATTTAGAAGCTCAGTCCTAATAAGGTGAAGAGGACTCTATCGATAAATGAAATCGAATTGTTTCCCTAAGTGTGGAATAATGAACCGGGTTCATTCGTCTGGACGGACCGGAAGATCTGAAAGAAATGGTCAGCTTTATCCTCGTCCCCTGAGATTTCTGCACCTTCATCAGTTCGCATTAGGGGATAGAATCATTGTTCTGCGCATTCTGCCTTATATAACTGTAAAGGACTTTTGGAGTAACCATTGCACGGTTTAACAGATCCTCTTCGAACATTTGTCGATCACTGACAATAAGAAGTTTGACCCGGTTCCTCTGCATCTTGTAACTATTGGGCGATTCAGGTGTCCTATCAATAAGGGACCTTTTCCACAGTTTTCTCTTCTTGTTAACTTCCGTTTTTTAAAAATGGAGTCAACCAGCGAGATCTGTTTGTTAGTTTTCTGCGCGTGATTAGGCAGTGGCTAGAGATGAGGTTGTGGACTATCTCCTTAAATTGTTCCTAAGTTTCTTCAACATTGTCGGAGAGTCTGGATTCCCTGGCGATGAAACAGAAGTCATGTTTCATCCGCTTGTAATCGCCACGCCAAATATTTGTTCGGAGGTCTTGCGGTTAGGCAGGCAAAGGAAATAAATTGTATTCTCACATGAGAACTACATGTGAGGTAAGAAATTCACAATGTCAATATTGTCAAGTGACTTAGTGAGTACAAGGTCAAGCCAGTTCATCCGCTGGTCCTCACGAATTCTTGTGGGGAATGTGACATGCAGGGATTCAGTTATATGCAGGAGCTGGTGGTCAAAAGCCGATTCTGTGCAATCGGCTGAGCAGGAGGCGCAGTTGACGGTAGGCGCGTTGAAGTCCCCAACAATAAGAGCATTTGATCGTGTAGCAAGGGTTTTAAGTTCATCCATCAATAAGGCATCAGCCTCAAGATCGTTCCTTGGGGGTCGCTAGACAGTTAAGGTGTTGAGACTTTGAGATCCCGTTGCTCTTACAGTCAAACATGCAGCTTCCGCACAAGACAGATTAGCCGTCTTTTCAGAAACATGGAAACCATTCTTTACGAAGGTTGCCATGCCTCCACCTCTTCGGTTATCTCTGTCTTTAGGGAACAGTTGAAAGCCAGGTATTCCACGCTCTCGATTGTCCGACAACCAGGTTTCAGTTATCGCAATAACATCTGGAAGGAGGTCGGTTACGTTGATCCTCAGTTCATCCATTTATGAAACTAAGCTTTGCGTATTAGTTTACACAAACGTCAGTTTTGAGTTATTGCGTGGACCATTTTTAACCCCAACATAGTCTACTGGATTAAATGCGCGGCCATTCGAATCAGTTTGATCCAGGAGTGAGTAGAACGTCGTTCGACTATCTCGTCCTTGTAAATCACCAAATTCTATTCTCCGATGATTCGCCGTTCCCTCAATTCTAGAACTAGTTAGCGGTGTTTCATCCTGTCGGGAGGAGGGTAATCCAACTGAAAAAACACCCTTTCGGAAATGGTTCAATCAAAAACGCCGGGACAGTAGAGGTTTTGCTTCGTCGCCGATGTCCAGGGGTGATTTTAAGTGGTCGCGACCTAGACTGCTGAGTTATGTTTAGGCAACTTCCAAGGCGAAGATCTTTCGGTAGAAGATTTTCTCAAATGGTCGCAACAGTTCTTTTAGGAGCTCTTCGAATAACCCTAAGTCAGCATCACTTCTTTCTATTACGAGTTACTCTCTGCGTAGTATCCTCCGGAGGAGTGGACGTGTTGTTCAGAAGAGGAAGACGCGATCTCTGGAACGATAATTTTATTCTGAGCTTTTGGCTTCACACGAGAAGCCATCGTCTAATTAAATGAGAAACAGCAAGCGTTGGCAACACGTAAATGGGATTGGTAGAGCGGGGGCAATTTGTGATTGGTCCATGTCCATGCCACGTCCATTCTCACGCCTTCTTATCG